TAATATTATATAGCTGGGGACATAGCTAAGAGCTGGGCATGGTGGTACATGCCTGTAACCTCATGGCTGGCTTTTTTTTTTTCTTGTTTTATGTCTGTTTAAAACCTTTGTAACTACTGTTTAAGTTGTTTTAGGGTGTTGACTACAAAATAGACAAGGTTAGAATTGACAATAAACTCCAAATGAGCAACCTAAGAGCCACTAGTTCTAAATCTTGCTGCTTATATTTGGCAAAAAGGGTTATGATACTAACTGCAATGTCTGTCACTCCCCTCCTACAAGGGACATGTTCTGACCTTCACTGGGAAAAGCTACCACACACTGTGGGATGTGGCTACAGATGGTTAGGTGATAGTGTCTTTTAAAAATGCAGTCAGAGACAAGGGAGCAAAGCCCCAAGCACCAAGCGTCAACCCCACCAAAATAAATACGGCTGTGAAAACTGAAAAGGGTTCTTATGCTTGACTGCCTAAAGACATAACAAACCCTACCCTTTCAATAGATACTTTGACTCAAAGAGTTGTTTTTTTTTTTTAAGGAAGAGAGGTTTACTTCCGCTCACAGTTTCAGTAGGTCTTGCTCCTGGTTAGGTGGCTGAGGGCAGAAAACCCATAGAGCAAGGACATGACAACAAGCAATCAGGAAGCAGAGATTTTCTTTTGTATCTGACCTCACAACCTTCAGTGATACTTCTGCAGGCTCAGACACCTGGTTCTCTGTTGCTTGTTTCAGCTACTTGTGATAAAATGTGCATACAACTCCAATGTGAAAAGGCCAGCCAGATGATATGGCCCCTTAAGGAGGGCCAAATAAACAAGGGGGTGTGAGCATTGTAAACTACACTGCAAACCATAACTTTTTTTTTTTGGCCGAACCGGGGATGAAACTCAGGCCCTTGCTTTGCCAGGGAAGCGCTTATTCCACTGAGCCATCTTCCCCGCCCCCAAATATAAGTTTAAAAATTTCATGTAAGGGCCAGGGAAATGGCTCAGTAGAATAAGCACCTGCCTGGCAAGCGCAGGGTATTGAGTTCAATCCCCAGTACAAAAAAAAAAAAAAAATTCATGTAACACCACCCCTCCCTCTCCTCAGCCCCAAAGAAGTGATAGAATATGCCCCAGCCCTAGGAGGCCTTGAGTCACAGGAGCAAGTGCAGAGATCTGCATTATCCTGTGTCCCCCTCTCCTTTATTCCTCACTATAAAAGACCCTTGCCCACCTGTAAGTGGTGGGAAGGCGACCTGAAGGGAATAGGCCCCTCCACCTCCTCAGAGGTAGCTCTGAGTAAAGCCCTTTTCCTGTTTACCTAAACATATGCCGTCCTTTGATTTGGTCAGTGGTGAGCAGAGGAACTTAAAAATAGGAGGATCACAGAGTTAAGCCTGAGGTTCGGAGTGCGTTCATGGTCAGCCTGAACTAGCAAGACAGTTTCTCAAACACACACACATGCACGCACGCACAAACATGCAATGGAAGATAAAAAAGAAAAGGTTAAATAGCTGCCATTTCCCCTATTTAAGAGTGCTGCAGAACAACCCTGAGACTCGTTAAGCCAGTTCTCAAGAGCTGTCCCCACTCTTCTAGATTATCTCCTGGAAGTTGCAGCCTCTGGCAGAAGCAGCAGTATAGAGAGGGTGAGCTTGAGATTTAAAGCCTGGTACTGAAGATCTCAGGATTGTTACAGGTCAGGAAAACAAAATTCATTTCCATTCTTTAAAAATTTATTATTATTAAAACTTCAAACAAGTACAGACATACAGGGGTCTCAGCACTTCCTTCCTGGATACCAGGAAGCTATAGCTTCAGCAGGTCTGAGAGAAAACACTGGCTATGCATCCCTGTCAACTCTCAGGTGGATCCTGCTTGGAGGACGGAGGAGACTCGGGTGGAGTGATCACAGGCAAAAGGTCTCCCCAAGAGCTGGCACGGGCACAACGGTACAAGTCCCTAAGAAACAGAAACATGTCAACGTGGGCTGCACGTTCCCGCCACATTCCACTCATTCTGGTCACACCTCCTGTACCTGCCGTGCCGGGTGGCCGTGATGACAGCGTGCTGCATATGCCCGTCCGGGCAGCACAGGTGGCAATGTACATGGCGGGGCCGTCGAAGGACAGGCTGCGTGATGCGTGGCCATCGATTAGCATCCTCTGGAAATCCTCGGGCAAGAATCACCATAGAGAACTTTTCCTCTTTTGGTTTCTTATTCTAAGGTTAGGGATACAGAAACTGTTGAGAGGCAAAAGATTATGGACTTGCTTTTCTTGCAGCCCCTTTTTCTTTTTTGTAGCAGTAGGGGATGGCAGTACCCAGGGGTACTCTACTCTGGGCTCTACCCATTTTTTTTCTTTTTGGCAGAACTGGGGATTGAACTCAGGCCCTTGCACTTGCCAGGGAAGCGCTTATTCCACGTAGCCGTCTCCCTGGCCCCCTATTTTAAATTTTAGGGGATGAGGGCTGGCCAGAGAACTCAGCGGACTAAAGCGCTTCCTTAGGCAGGTGCAGTGACTGGGGTTTGATCCCCAGTGTTTCGTGCTGGTCCCACGCCCAGGGCACACTGAGCCAGTGATTGAGACTGGGCATGGTGGCTCATGCTTGTAATCTCTGCACTTGGCAGGCTGAAAACAGGATTACTACAAGTCTAATCTGTACAGTGAGATCCTGTTGACGCTGTACTAAATACATTAAAAAAAACAAATTTTAGGGGATAAGGCCAAGTTGCCCATGCTGGGCTCAAATTCGTAATCTCCCTGCCTCAGTCTCTGAGTGCTAGGATTAGAGGTGGGTGCCCCCATGCCTGGCTCCACAGTCTTTCATATTCTACAAATCATTCACACGCACGCTCTAACGTCACCAGACTATTCCATGAGCTCTCCACTCTTCCTGTATCTGTCTCTTCTTGTGTTCCCAGGTTATTTTCTCCCTGTTGTCACATTACCAGAATACCTACCCAGCTGAAGGGGATGGGATGGTAACCCTGGGAGAAGCTACAAGCCAGGGGCTGAGAGGCCATCAACTGAGGACAAGGGAGTTCATGGGGACACTGCAAACACAAAGACAAAACCGAGAACCACCATGAAATTTCAGAAGGCAGAATCCAGAGGGGCCAGGAGCAGATGGCAACGTGAGCCACGGAGTTCCTAGGTGAACTGGAGGGGCTCGGGGAGGTTGAGAGTGGCCTCGCTTTGTCCGCTCATTCTGCCTGGCCACATTTACACTCTGTGTACTGGGACAGGCTGAAGTAATGATACTCACTGGAGCAAAGACGAACCCAGGACGAGGGTCTGAAGGCGACTTCTCTTTTCCCTAAAGTCAAAGAAAGCAAGCTGGGTCTATAGGGTCTATTGTCATAATTCAATCAACACTCAGGAGACTGAGGACTCTTAACATTCAATTCTAATGATAAACTATGTCCCTTGAGTTAAGCCGGCTGCATGGGTAATGCTCTAAACAAAGGACTTTCTCTTCATAGCCGTAGAGACAGGAATGTGACACACAGTAATAGACTCCCTTGTCAGCAACCTTCACTTTCAAAAAAATTCACTCAGGACAATTACATTTATGATTGCATATTGGCTTGCATACTTTTACAGAGACGAGGTTCCTGGCTCAGCAATGCCCCACATCAGGGGCTGGCCAACTTGTTTTTTCTTCATAGTGGGGATTACACCCAGGACCGTGCACGAGCTACATAGGTGTTCTACCAGTGAGACACGGGAGACACATGACTATGCATGGCACACAGAAATAGGAAGCGGCCGACTTGGAAGCACAGGCTCTGGTTTGCCAAGCTCAGTCGTCTGCGACAGGGACTTTGCATGCCTAGTGCCCTATGGTCACCCTCACCGATCTATGACAGTCTCTTCAGTTTTCAAGGGAGCAATAGTAACTGATGACAGACGGGTGAGGGCTGAAGGGGAGACAGGGAACCTTACCTCCAGCACCAGGTCCCTGGCATCCATGAGAAGCCGGTGCCCAGCTCTTGTTCCATTTTCCACTAGTACCTGTTCACAAGAGGGCAAAACAAGCAGGCACCGTGAACTGCGTGAAAGCACAGGTGTCAGCAGCTCTGGCACAGCAGCTGCAGCGACACTCAGGGTTGGACACGTGCACCTGCATAAGACAGGGACAGGATCCCTACAGGAGGGACACAGATGTCTCCAAGGAAAAGCATGTCTGACAGTAAAGGAAGGGGAGGAAAGTCCTGAGGGGAAGAGTCTTCAACTCACCAGAAAATGGCTTGTCTTGCGCCACAGAGTGTGGAGTACCGAGGTGCGGTCAGCTGCACTGGGCAGCTCGCTCAGGGCAAAGGCTGCGACCACTACATCAAACTGCACCTGTGGAGACAGGAAGTGCAGGGAACTGACACCCATGGCCCCAGAGCACACAAAGCTTTGGCCCGCCATTTATCCAACATTCAATGCTAGACTATACAACTGTGGCTACCGCATTCTTTCTGCTACATTCCACATTTAGAATACCTAAGTATGGCTACTTGCCTTGGGTGATACAGGTAGAAACTGTCTGAAAAAGACACCTGGAAAATAAGGCTTCCCTGATTCTGAACCACCTGTGGACGAAAGAAAAGAGATGGCAGGGCCGGCCAAATAGCTCAGCGGATTAAAGCTCCTGCAAGCAGGCACAGGGGCTGCGGGTTCAGTCCCCGGGGTTGCTGTACTGGCTCTGCCTCCAGAGTGTGCTGCAATGGCAATTGTGACTGGGTGTGGTAGTGCACACTCATGCCTGTAATCCCAGCTCCTGGGAGGCTGTAAACAGGCGGATCACGATGAGTACGATCTAGTAGTTAGACCCTGAACACCCTCTAGACCTTTCCCTAAAATACAAAAAAACAAAAGCAAAAAAAAAAAAAAAAAAAAAAAAAAAGAAAGAAAGAAAGAACAGAGGTGGCAACTAAGAGAACATACGAAGTAGCCGGGTGGGGTGGCACACGCCTGTAATCCTAGCACTCAGGAGCCTGAGGCAGGAAGACTGCCACAAGTTTGGGTTACACAGCGAGGCCAGTCTAGGCTACACAGGGAGTTCAGGGCCACCCTGCACTCCAAAGATAGATCCTGTCTCAAAAAAAAAAAAAGTATCTAGGAAGTTTATGGTCATAAGTACAAACTAGAGCACTATCAGGACCAGAAACAGCAAGAGGAAAGAGAAAAACACTCTAGCTGAGACAGGGCCGCCAACGTGTAAGTAAATATGCTTATTGGGCGAGTGTCAGCTCCCTTGTCCTGTGACCTCACCTAAGCCAGGTACAGATCAGCGAAGTCCTCCAGCTCCCTCTGCTTGTGCAGAGTATTGCAGAGAGACCAGATTCATCTTTTATTTATTTAATTTTTTTCTGACAGACCCAGGGATTGAACTCAGGCCCTTATACTTGCCAGGGAAGTGCTTATTCTACTGAGCCATCTCCCTGGCCCCCCAGATTCATCTTAACTCTGTCTTCTCCTCCACTTCTACTAAAACAATCTTTCTAGCACTTCTTTGGCTTTAGCTCCTTCAGCTTTGGAAAAGCCCCACCTCAGTGCTTGTCCTCACCTTTCAGGAGCTTTTCTGCCAAGCCCAACATGGCGGCTGAGCTGTCCACACACATGTATTCACGGAGGCTCTGACCCCAAGCAGTGTGAGCAGCCCTGAGACAGCAAAACAAAGCCCATCAATTTGCACTTATTTTTGAGACTGGGCTTCACTGTGTAGTTCAGATTGGCCTTGAGCTCACTATGTAGCCCAGGCTGACCTGGAACTCAGGGTGATCCTCTTGCCTCAGCCTCCCAGGAGAGCCGACTTTACAGGAATGCACCATCACACCCTGCCCCTCAAAACCCACTAATTCTTATGACAAAAAGTCATCCCTATAAAAGGTCTATCTACTCCCAACCCCTGGGCAAACAGATGTCATGTTAAAATACCTAGAAAAACATAACTATTGTTTTCTTATTTCACGTATAGTTCCTGAAGAAAAGATAGACTCAAAAATCCACTGTAAATGCAAGGACCTGAGTTCAATCCCTGGTTCCGAAAGTAGAAGAAAAAAAATATCCATTATAGGCAACCTAAGTTTTGACTGACATATGCTAAATTCTTTGTAGCCTTTTAAACACGGCCCCCATTTGCACTTGACATTTCTGTAAGTTCTGGCCCCAATCCATATGCCACCTTCTGAGGGAAGATATACTGTAGTTCCCAATTTTCCCATTCTGTTTTCTCCGTCTTGATACTGAAGTGGTGTAAGTGGCTCTTGAGAGCTAGACTCACAAAGATGGCTGCATGAAGTTACTCACCAGGTGACAGAACCAGTACCAGAACCAAAGTCCATCAAGGTTTGTGGCTGGAACTGTGGAATTCGAATCTGGATCTGGAGAAATATACAATATCCCACAGAAGGGTAAAGAGAGAATTACTTAGAGCCTTTGAAAATATGAATTAGGGGACTATGACAGAGAAAATGAGATATGAATATATTTTGAGATGAAACAGAAATACCTTTTAGAATATAAAGGTTATGAAATAGTGATTTTAAAAAAAGTAAGAGAATTTATTTAAAGGTGATGGAAGTAGAGGAGAGAGGGGCATATAATCTCCAAAAATCCTTGCTCTAGAAACTACTTCAAGAAAAAGGGAGCTGAGGCAAAAGTGTTCAGGTTGGAAGTTGAAGGATTTTTACCTCATGGAATGCCCTGGAGACTGCTGCAAAGCCACCGTCCAATCTTGCTGCCATATACACCAGGCTCAGCTCCTTATTGTAGCTGCAGTGAAAATCTGAGTCATACCCACTGGGCAATAACTTCGGTCCCAGAGTTACTTTATAGATTTTCAGGAGATGAACTCTTTGGAAGGAGCTTCTCCAAGCCTTCTGCTCCCCAATATCAAAAGGTGCAGGTGGCTTTCTGAAACACTAAAATGACCATGGAATTCCATACCCAGACTCTTGTTTTTCAAGTCCAAGGTTCCTTCTGCAACTTCTCACCTCAGTTCCTGCCAGTGGTAGGTAGTTCTGCGCAGGGCATGTAGCACTGCTCTGCGGAGTTTCTCCTCTGTCTGAGGTGAGTCTGGAGTGAGAACAAGGACTGGAGGTGAGGACCTGGAGAGAACAGGGATCAGATCCAACATTAAATATCCTGCCCTGCTCAGTCCTCCCCAGCCCCACTTGAGCAAAGCCTCAACGCTCAAGAGAGAAGCCAAATCTAGAGAAAAAGTTCAAGGAAGAACAACCATAATCACCACTATCACTAGACGGAGTGTATCAGATAGGATCCTGCCTCTAATTGCTTATTCAGCTTACCAAACCCTATCCCTTGTCCCACAAGTTGTTTTTTTTTTTACAAGTTTTGTTTTATATGAAAAAGAAGCATGAGAAAAATTTAAAGGATAAGAGAAGCAGAAAACTGGATTTCTTCAAATCTCCAAAATTTAAGATCATGAAATCGGGGCCGGGGAGATAGCTCAGTAGAGTAAGCACTTGCCTGGCAAGCTTAAGGGCCTGAGTTCAATCCCTGGTTCCGCAAAAAGAAAAAAAAAAAAAGAAAAGAAAAGAAAGGAAAAAAAATTCCTGTGTTTCTATGGGGGAGGAAAAGCGTGTGAGAATCTCTCAAGACTCTGCTCAGTTCTGCACTACTTAGGAACTACCTATTGGATACCTATTCTGGGCCAAATATGGGGAGTGCTGGGAATACAAGACAAAAAAGGCAGGTCTGTGACAGAAAGCTCATTATCATAACAGCAGGCTTCTTCTGTTTCCCAAGAGGGTTTTGGTGCTGGGGAGAAAGTCATATAGGTTCTCTATTTTTATTTCACCTGAACAGAAACGTAGAAGATCCTAATCTGGTGGACTTGCAGGGAGGTTGAACCCCAAAGAGCTGGATTTCTGCATTTTGTCCAAAACCTGAGAGCGACCAGTTTACCCCCCAGTCAGGCAACGTATGCGTAGCACCTGCTCTTGCCAGAGTCCGTTAAGAAACTGCAGCATCAACTTCAGAGATTGTGGAATTACTCCTTCCTTTTCATTTTCCACTGATGTTCCAATCTGAGAATATTCTTAATTATTCTTAACCCCTACCTGGGTTTTCCAGGAATTTTTTCTCAAGATGCATAGCCCGCCTTTGCAGCTCCTCCGGTTCTACAGGCAAATGTCGGCTCCACAGATAATTGCTCAGTGTTTGCACCTTCTCTTCCACATCTGCCACTGTGCTCTCTGTGGGCCAAAGATGAAAAGCGCAATCACTTTCGCTCAGGCGTCACCCCGTTTCTTTCGGGGCTCCTGCCCTGTGGCTACTCACCGAGCAGCAGCAACTGCGCGGCTTTAGCGAGGGCGGGCGGCAGCTGCACGTGCGGGAGCTGCAGGATGCCAGGGTGCCGGCGATGGGGCTTCTTCCCCAGAAAATCGGACCTGTTATCTACGTGGGTCACGCTGGGCACGAGGGCGGCGAGGGCCTGCGGGACGGGAAAGAAAAGCTGTCAGGCAGAAATGCAGGATGCAGGCGCTCCCTGAGAGGGACTGCTGAGGCGCTCCGCCCTGGCACAGGTGTCTCCCGAAACCTTGCCACCCAGAGAGCAGAGGAAATAGACACTTACCCGGGATAACTGCGGAGCTAGGCGAAGGGTCCGGCGCCACCTGCTTAAGGTCGGTGCACGTACGGTCGCCATGGCTCTGAGGCAAACCGGAAGCGGAAGCCTAGGTAACCTCCAGTCCCCAAATCCAGGAGAGTCACTTCCGGTGTCAAAGGCAGTATCAACCAATGAAAAGAGCGAGTACGAGCAGTTATCCAATAAGCAATTGGTATGCAAATCTAGAGGCTGAACCTGTAAATTGGGAGGACGCGGTCGCTGTTCCGAGAATATTAAAGCAAGGCCGAGGCGCGTCCGTGTTTTGGCCAGAAATCTAATGAATGGGGCGGGCTCTGCTACAGACTGGCAAAGGCGCTCGAGTATTAACAGTGTTTTTTGATTTTCTCCTTGGACAATTCTGAGTCTCAGGTTGTTTTCCTCTGAAAAAAGAGAATGCAGTAACAAAAAGAGATGAGAAACAAGATTTAGGCAACCAAAGAGACCATACACTAATAGTTATTTGTTAAAATAGTTAATAGTTTAATACATACTACACCTTGTTGAGCCGGGCGTGGTGGTCCACACCTGTGACCCCACCACTCGGGAAGCTGAGGCAGGAGGATCCTTGTGAGTTTGAGACCAGCCTGGGCTACAAAGTGAGCTCATGGTCAGCCTGAACTGCGAGACCATGTCTCAAAAAGATGCACCCCCCAAAAAAGAAATTTCAACACCCCAAAACCACCAAAAAAAATTTATTAATAGACTTAATTTTTTATTTTTGTATTTTAGGGAAGGATCTACAGGGTGTTCAGGGTCTCACTACTAGATCGGACTCAGTGATTTTCCTGTTTACAGCCTCCCAAGAGCTGGGGTTACAGGCACACGCCACCATGCCCAGTCTCGATGGCTGTCTCAGTGAGCCCCGAGGGACTGAACTCCTTTAATTCGCTGAGCTATTTGGCCAGCCCTAATTGGCTTAATTTTTAAAAGTTAGTTTTTCTCCAAGTTAGCAGATCCTTGTAGTGACTTAATGGGTACTGAGAACATCTCAGCTATCACCTCAAGAACTTTTAGGTAAACTACAGTGCTTCTTGTATGCCCCTAAATCTTAGGAAATAGGGGGTTCTGTTGTTATCTTCATTTTGCAGATGAGGAAAGTGAAGGCTGCAGTGGATAAATGGGCCCAAGAGCACGAAAGTGGCTAGGCGTCGAGTAAATTCCAACAGGAAGCCTGAGCTTCACCTGTAAACCATATGCTGTATTTGGTATTGGTATTTGGATACAAATGGACTAAGAACTTCATGCTAAGTGTTTGGAAGTTTAAGATTTAACATTAAAAAAATTAAAAATAACTGTGCTGTAAACTCTTCCTCTTTCTTCTTCTTCTTCCTCCTCCACCTCCTCTTCTGTCTTTTTGAGACAGGGCTTCATTATGTAGACCTGAATGACCTTGAACTCACTTTGTAGCTCAAGTTGGTCTCTAACTCATGGCAGTTTTCCCGCCTCAGACAGTCTGTGCCACCACCTCCAGCCTTGTAAAATCTTGATTTCTGTAGCAAATACTTTAATCAGCCATGGTATACCCTTAATATCTTGGGATAGGAATCTGGTGGGGGATATTGCCAATACTGCATTGTACTTTTTAATGTGACTATTAGAGTTTCAGTAAAATAATCATGGGATAGAACATAATGAACAATGTTAATTTAAGTGTCTGATTTGTATTTAGGTCTTTAAGATTTGATTCCAATAAAAAGGGGTTCTTCCGTCACCTGAACGTCTGGGAGGAGACTTGAGATGTGTATGACAGCTGACTGCATACCGCTCTTTTCAGACTTACCTTCACTTAATGTGTATTTACCTCTTTTCATTTTCCTTTGCAGTGCCACATTTAATTTTCTTCTCTCTCTTTTTTTTGAGACAGGGTCTTGCTTTGCAGTTTAGGCTGGCCTTGAATTCAAGGTGATCCTTTCTCTAGCCTCCTGAGTTGCTGGGATCACAGGTGTGTACATACTTGGCAGTTTTATTTATTTATTCTTTGTGGTACCGGGGATTGAACTCAGGCCCTTGCTCTTGCCAGGCAAGCGCTTTTGCTACTGAGCTATCTCCCCCCCACAGAAAATTAGAGTCATTTATTTCTGTTTATTATTATTATTATTTTGGCGGAACCAGGGATTGAACTCAGGACCTTGCATTTGCGAGGCAAGTGCTTATTCTACTGAGCCATCTCCCCGGCCCACAGTTTTCATACCTTGTGGTATTTTGCTTTAAATTCCTGGCTCAACTGTCAACATAACAAGATATTCTTGTCACTTGTATGTCAGCTCTTATAGAATATTGATTATGCTATTTTTTGTTAAGGGAGACGTCACAGAATGTAGGGGTAAAGTGCTTGGCTTCTGGAGTCTAACAATATGCATTTGAATTCTAGCACAGTGAGATACTGACTGCTGCTCCCCAGGGCTTTTGGAATGAAGATCAAGTAAGATAATGTCTGGTTCAAAATAAATGCTCAATAAGTTCATGCTGATACTGTTACATGTGTTTTTTAAATTTAAAGGCATATACTCGTATTTTAATTTTAATTTTGAATTTGTTTTTTCCCCCCAAAATAGACATAGAACTGGGAACAGTATGGAACCAAGTAAGGTGGAACACTGAAGAGTAAGAAGGAGCAGGAGAGCTCTATGGTGTCTGTTCCTCTTTTTTTTTTTTTTTTTTTTTTTTTTTTTTTTTTTTGTCAAGCTGCCACTAGAGTTGTGGCTTCCTTTCCTCTGATAATATCCTAATGGGGATTAGTCCTTTCTTCTGACAATGCAGCATCTCAAAAACTGATTTAATACCCACCTGTAATTCCAGTTTGTTGGATGGCAGAGGTGGGAAGATGTCAATTTTGAAGTTGGCCTGGGACCTTAGTGAGACCCTGTTTCAAAACAAAAAGGGTTGGAGATGTAGTCCCATGGTAGAGCACTTGCCTGTCGTGTTCCAGGCCTAAGGCTCAAGCTCCAGGCGGGTCAGGTAATCTTTTGTGAATCATTACAGTCATTAGCAGTATTGGGCCATGGACAGATTATTTTATTTTATTTTATTTATTTTTTTTAATTGTTTTATTTATTTGAGAGAGAGAGAGAGTGTGGTATGTGTGTGTGGCCAGCTCAGCCCACCAGGGGGCGGGGCCGGCTGGCATGTGGTGCTGGGGGATCGAACCGCGGTCCCTGATGCTTTGCTAAGCTTGTTCCAAGTAGGTGCTTTAGACCACTGAGCCATCTCTCCAGCCCCATGGACAGATTATTTTAGATGTATTCTCTGAACAAAGTATGGAGAAACTCTGAGTTGCGTTTGAGGATACTTCTACTTCAGCCACGAAGGCTGAGCCCCAGGTTTAGATGGAAAGAACTCTGCTTCCTCGGAGATCAAAGGATACATAGATCTGGGCCCAGATGGGCACTGGCAGTGCTTGTGAACTTTGAAGTAGAACTTGAGTGGGCTTCAAAGCCTGAATAATGGTGAGTTTGTGCCAGCAGATCTTGTGTGGTATGAGATCATATTGATACATTTCCCCTGATTATATCTAGTATTTGCTATGAAAAGCCATTGTCGTCTTCATAAAATAATGTGTTCTTTAGATAATCATATACCAGAAGAAAGAGGGAAGGATGGGGATTTAAGTAGGGGGATATAAGGGCACACTTTTTCCCCTCTAATTTTTTACTGTATATGTTTGCAATATGTAGTAAATGAACTCATCATGGGGGAATGGTAAATATACATATGGTTTTTTTTTGTATTTTAAGGAAGGGTCTACAGGGTGTTCAGGGTCTTACTACTTCACTACTAGATTGGACTGAAAAAACAAAACAGGGGCTGGGGAGATGGCTCAGTAGAATAAGTGTGTCCCTGGCAGGTGCAAGGGCCTGAGTTCAATCCCCGGTTCCGCCAAAAAAAAATTTAAAAAATTAAAAAAATAAAAAAATTTAAAAAAGAACAAAAAACTTCCCTTGTAGAAATGCTCTCACTGAGCCCCACAGATTTTGGAATGCTGTGCTTTTGTTGTCTTTTTATTCTAGAAGCTTTTTGATTTCTTTCCTGGTTTCTTCTGTGATCCACTGATTATTCTACTTGATCTTAGCCAAAAGGCTGAGAAGTGATCTACTGATTATTTATTTATTTTTATTTTATTTTATTTTTTGATTACTTAATAGTGTGTTTAATCTTAAATGTTTGTGTAGCTTCTCTGGCTTTTTAATTTTTTATTTATGTATTTGGTATAAGATCTTCTGCCTGGTTTTGGTGGCTGGCTCAGTGTGCCTGGGGCAGCCATAATGGTATGCAGTAGTGGGGGCTGAACTTGGGTCCCTACATTTGCCAGTCAGGCACTTAGACCTCTGAGCTATCTTCCTGCCTTCTCCCCCTTTGTTGAAACAGGGTCTTGCTATGTACTCTTGCCTTGAACTCACTATGTAGCCCAGACTGGCCTCAAACTCTCAGCAATCCTTTTGCCTCAGCCTCCCAAGTGCTGGGATTACAGGTGAGTACCACTGTGCCAGGTTGGATCTATGATTTCTTGCTTAATGGGGAAAAAATCTGGCTATAGCTTTGATAAATCATCAGGAAATGATTACTGAGATGTAAACAGAATTCATAATAAGTGATTAAAATTAGTGAATAGGACTCATAAGAGGGGGGTTATAATAGTGAAACAAAAATTTAGAAAAGTATTCACCTTCACTAGTAAAGAAATGTATGTTAAAAATATTGAAGCATAATTTCTTCTAGTAAAATAGCAATGTTATAACCAGATTTTTTTTGTTTTTGGGTACCGGGGGATCGATAACCAGATCTTATTGTACAAGCCTGTAATCCCAGCACCCACAGGCTGCAGCAAGAGGACTACAAGTTTGAGGCCATGCTCAGCTACCTAGTGAATTTGAGGTTAGCTGGGATTATATGGACCATGTCTCAAAGGGCAAGGTTGAACTGGGCTTGGTGGCGCACGCCTGCAACGTCAGCACTCTAGAGACTGAGGCAAGAGGATGACCACGGGTGGGAGGCCAGGCTGGGCTACACAGTGAGTTCAAGGCCAGCTTGAATTGCACAGCAAGCTCTGTGTCAAAAAAGGAAAAAAAAAAAAAAAA